GCAAGGTTTCCATTGGAATGCGTCACGTGTTCTCCGTGGAATGTGAAGAGGCCAAGCGTCAATACATCCTAGAGGCACACAAGGCAGAGCATGTGTATGAGGATGTTAAGTCTATCTCATCGGGGACTGCCTTCTGCTACCGGTGCCAGCGCGATCATGCTCTATCTCACCAGGAGTTGGATCTCTTCATATGCGGTCCATCTTGCCGTGACATGAGCGACATGGCTAGTGAGGAGGGTATTCTTTGAAACACATACTACAGCGTTGGATTGGCAGAAGGAGGTGAGTGTATATAGTATATAGATAGGCAGGTAGATAGCTAATAGATAGATAGACAAACAAACATACAAACAAATAGATAGATAGATTAGATAGATATATTTTTACAAACCGCAGAAAACTAGCTAAGGCTCCCTGCATGTGTAAATTGTTTCATTCAAACTCAAATTATGGTATCACATATCATTCTGGCATAGTTTGGCCTCAAAGTATATGATCAACACATATCAAAAAGAGGTTGTTCTAAGTGCACTGCGCCCAGGCAAGCTCAGTTGCAACCGAACTGCCCGAGCTGGATGCTATGAAGACTCCTTTGACCCAGGTTCTGGAACAAGCTCAGCAACCTACAAGTATGGCTTCAAGACAGCACCCTGACTAACATGAGGCACTTCTTCCAACTTTCTGTTTCAAGCACTTTTGTAGAATAACAAACTGCCATCCTTGTAGAGGAAACTATAATGTATAATTAGTCAGTGAGTCACCCTCAAGAATAGCTGGCCTTTCATTGTTTTCTGTTCAATCTATCAGCTTCAGGTAATGGAAAAGCTCTGTTCGACGGCCTGTGTGTATGAGAATGTCAAGACAGCATCGGAGAGAACGCGGGATGATGACGGCACACTACATCGACCAGCCGTAGAGGCCAATTTGAGAAAGATTACCCCCAACAAATATGATAGAGGAGAGAGAGAGAGAGAGGGAGGGAGGGAGAGGGAGGGACAAAGGGAGGGAGGGAGGGTATTTCCATGTTATGCTCCGCAATTTGTTTGCATGGCCAATGGCTGGGGCTTTGCCAAACCCTGAGGTGATAGAGGAGCATGCTCGAGATGCCGGCTACCAGTGGGTATCTTGGCTGTATCACTGCTCATGTGATACTGTACATCATATTGTAATTAAGTTATATAATGTGTACATATATATATATATGTGTGTATATAGATGTATATAGTAACTTGTTTGTTTCACCGGACACTGTTCTAAGTGTGTGTGTGTTGCAGGTGTGGACACTTCTAGACTCACAGAACTTTTTGGTGAGACAACGAAGAAACCGCGTCTATGGTGTGGCCATGGCAAACAGTGGCTGTGATACGGATGCTCAATACAAGCATGGATTTGCTTCAGCCCTTCACTCTTTGCAGACTCATTGTCACTTCAAGATGGATGAATGCTTTGACAAGTCCCTACCCGCGACAGTGCTCAGCTCAAAGAGGGAATGCGAGGTGCTGAAAAAAGCGCTGGCGAAGGCTCAACAGGTGGCTTGGCATGTGTGCACTTAGAACATATTTTAGAACAGAAGGGGCGAGACAGTTTAGGTATTGGGGACCCGGTAGCATTTTTGGGGACCCGGTGGCAGCTCAGGTGGGAAAGGACGATAACATCTTTATTGATTGCTCTTCTTCAGTCTCTCGTGCGGAATGGGCGCACGAAGTCTCCACCTGTATCACTCCATCACATGCAATCTACTCAAACCAGCTTCACCGATACTTGGAGCCTGAAGAGATCTTAGGCTGTCAAGCCATATGGCGCTGTGATGTGAACAACCGAGCTTGCTTCGACCAAATGATCACAAACGGATTGGCGCAGAAGTTGGCAGGGAATGCCATGACAGGCACGGCCGTTCAGGCCGTGGTCTTGGCAAGTTTTGCCAGCGCTGGTTCTTGGCTGGAGGTTGGCAAAAGGGATAAGCAAAAGGATACTTCCATTTCTACTTCCCTTTGGTTGAAGGATCAGCCTTGCAGTCATTCTGCTGCAGGCAAGCCAGGTGTGACAAATGACAGTGGAAAAGAATCCCAACAGCTCTGTCCAAAACCAGAGCTTCAGCCACCAGAGGCGGTGGAAGACCATGCCGATGGGAAAGGACACAAGAAGCGCAAGCGGTCACCAGGGACAGGTCCAAAAGGACTGACAGCGGAAGGACAGCTTGTTCCAACCCGCCGCGTTCGTGGCAAGCAAGCCTTGATCCCAATGCCCAAGCCAAAAAAGAAGGGTCAAGGACCAGGAAATAAGAAGGCCAAGGGCAAGAAAGCTATGGTCACCATAAAGCAGAAAGAAGACATCTTCAAGGCTTGGGAGGCTGCTGAAGCCAACGGGGCGAAGCACCCCGCCAAAGAAGTAGAAAAGCTGGGTCTTCCTGGTTACTTTGCCGGTTGCACCTACCCCAGCAAGTGGGGGCGTGCAAGAGAGGAACAACATTGGACCCTTCTTTGCAACACGGCTCCATCCCTTTGCTCTCGCCACCGTGAGCTGCCCAACAGCCTGCGACGGGTGCTCAACCTGACCTTGAAGCATCAAACGCATGAAGTTGCCTCATCAGGGGAGCAGAGCATGCCCTGGCTCCTGAAGCAAATTGTGGAGGAGCTTGTAATGGAGCGGATGGAATGTGGAGAGGAACTTGGGATTCAGTTTGTCAAGAACACGATCACCTTTTGCTGTGGCATTTGGAATGAGTGCATAGACTCTATGCATGAGATGGTCAAGTCCTGGCTTTCAAAAAATGATGAGCGCTTCTCTCAGCTTGGTGGAGATGAACTGGAGGAGAAGCTTTCAGGCATGAGTCAGATCGCTGAGAAACTCCTCAAGAAGGTGCATCTAGCAGAGTCTGATGGGGCACTTCTGACTTTTGCCAACATTTCAAAGTACATTTTGTTTGTTGCCCATTGCCCACTGCCACTTATATAGTGAGGATTTTACCTCAATTGTTCTAAGCATATCCTCGAGCAACTAATCCTTTCCACCTATGCAATATCTCCCCCCATTATATAAAGAAAACACACACATTCCAGTCTCGCCGGTGGCGTTTTTCTTAGTGGGTCCCCAAAACAGGGGGGCCCAAAACCTGGGAAGAGCTGCAAAACCAAACGGCCGCCTAGGAAAGTTATGTTGTTTGTTCTAAGCGGTTGTCCGTCACTATGTATATATATAATTTATATATATATATATATAAGGGTCTTCCTTTTTCCTTTCCGCTTTAGGCTTCAGCCCAGTTGCTTTAAGCATACGCTGCAACAACAGCTTTTGTATATATATATATATATACATATGTATGTTTTTTCTCCAACTCAGGAAACAGGCACAACGCTTGTGCAATTGCTTTGGAATCCGGAGTCGGTCCAATGAGAAGCCAGGGGCTCACTTGCCCTTTGACAGCCCCTCATTAGAGGCAGTACGCAGCCACATCAAGAAGCTTTGTGAAGATGGCTTGATTGAACCACGCCTTGTCTGCAACTTTGACCAAGTATGGTCTATGCGGTTCCGACCACACAAACGTTCTCTCCAAAAACCTCCAGACCAAAAGCACATGGCACGAGACCCATTGGCTCGATCTATGCTTCTCAGACGGGTCAGGCACAATTTGGAAAGAAGCCTAGACCTTCCGTTGACCGAGGCCGACCCGCAGGTGAAGCAGGTAAAGTCACAGATGGCTAAGCCCATGGTCACGGGGGGCTCGGCGGCTAGCGCCATGGTTCAAGACTGGCGACTGCCAAGGACAGTAACGACCTTGTCATTTATGGACGGATGGATGGGCAGGTCATTCATAACAGTCCGGGATGGACAGCTTCCAGAGTCTACTCGTCGACGGTTAAACGATGAGCTCAGCCGCTTTGTGGCAATCGACACGCCTCAACCACGGAGCCATATCTGGAATGAGGCAACTTTTGTGCGCTACTTGGAGCATTTGGCGCAGGAGCTTGGTCATCCTAAAACTTACCCCCCGGGCCATGTATGTTCCAACTCATGCTATTTCTTCAGATAGAGGAAAAACAAGGTTTTCTTGCAGCCTGCAGGAGATCAGGACAAGGCGCAAGCAGCTGGGCCTGACGGCAAAAAGCAGAGCACTTTGCTTCTTTGACCAGGCAGCCGCTCATATGTCCAAGAGCTATTTGCAGATCCAGAAGCGTTGGTCCGAGGAACACAATGTAGAATCTCGCATTTGAAAGGAACATGTTTTTGCAGTTGTGGTTCAGCTCTAGCCATGAAAATGCTGAATATGTACGCATATGATATGTACCCAATGCAACAACATTTTGGGTGGGTTTATTCCTACAGCAGTTTCACACTTAGAACATTGCACGGAAAAAGACAAAGCTAAGGAGTTGATGTCGGGACTGTCGGAGGTTCCGATACCAGGTGGATTTGGGGCAGCAGGTGCCCCAAATGATTCGTGGCACCAGGCCATGCACTCCATTACCAAGTCCTACCTCCGGGTTGCAGTACAATGGGGTGAGTATCCAATGCTGCGCCGCCGCATGGATCAACTTCAGATGGGGCTCCAGGCTAACCCATCAACACAGCGCGCTGGCAGCATAATCTGGATATATGTATGTATATATTGGTATATATATATATATGAAAATAATACAATATGTTGACGACTGGTCTCTTGTCTCTTGTGCTAGGACTGTTTTCACCGACTACTAGCAAATCATTTAAAGCTCTTGTATGTTTTTCATATAGTTGGCCGATGTTCTAAGTGGAGAGGCTTGAAGGCTTTCACATAGTTCTTGCTAACTTTATATGTGTAGGAGCTGGAGGGAAATACTCCAACAGCAGCCTGCGTTTGTGTGTGTGTGCGCGCATGTGTCTGTGCACAGGTATATGTATACATATAGTCTTTGTGTTTGCGCTTGTTTCCATCTCATTTGTACAGGACTTTTCCCGTCTAGAGGCTGTATCATTGCAATCCCTCTCCATTTTTCACAGGTGCCCGCTGGAAGACTCAATCCGGGCAGATGCATTTGCAGTTCAGCAGCTCTCTTGGTCTTCTCCGTCTCTTGTATATATTGAAATAGCTGTCTTTTCAACAAACATGTCTTTTTGGACACGCCCCCAAAAATATGCTTTCACAAAGGACAGACAGATTATCATTTCAAAGTTAATAGATGTTCTAAGTCAAAACCTTTGAAGCTACCCAGGCACAACAAGATCATATGGCTTGGCTGGGTGCAACGTGGCTATTGTTCTATTGCTGACATTGCTCAGTGGCGCTTTGATGGAGACATGCCTTTGTAAAGAGCATTTTGATATTTGATATCTGCCATATATATATATAGTTTGTGTTGGTGTTCTGCCTGTGCCACGGGCCACGTGTGAATCATTGCAACACAACGCATTCTCAGAGGAGATGTGGACCAAGCCCAAGCGAACCTTCAGCGTTGCAGGGGATCCATGAGCGATGTCCTGGCGCTAACAGAGATGCCCGAACTTGAGGCGGACACCCTGGAGTTGCGCCAAATGCGTACTGAAGAGCTTGTGCCTCAATCTGTTTGCAAAAAGTTTTTGCATTATGTCCATGGCCCAAGGAGACCAATGTATGTATATATGTATATTATATATAACATATATATATATATGTCTAACATATATATATATATGTCTAACATATATATATATAAAGGGGTAATGTGAAGGTGATGTCTTTTGGAAATGCGGTCTCAGGCTGATGAAACAAGCCACCACTGGGCGCTCCAAGATGCTGATGGAACCCGTCATGTGCTTCCACGATGGATCAGTGGGATCTTGGAGATTTCAGTTTGTCAGCATGTTACAGAGAGCGAAAGCTGGCAAAAAACCCTTGAGAAGCGAGCCAACATGGGCAGGAATCTCACCGGCAGGCAGCGGGAGAAGTATGAGGCCTGGAGGTTACGAAGGGAACCTCGCTTTATCTTTTCCAAAGATGCCAAGGTCCTTGTGACTGAGTCATCGCGGGTAAATGATGAGTGCATAGCTTTGCAACTACACTTGTCCGACGAGCCCAAGGATTTGAAGGTCACTGCAGCCAATGGGGAGCAGTACCAGCTTGTTCTACTGCGTGGCCCTGCCGCAAAGGACATTGATGGAATGCCGGAGGCGGGCTTTTGACAAGAGCGCTCACACCCCCCAAACATGTATATAAGCGTATGTGTGATACATGGAATAGCCACTAAATGCACTGGGTGGCACACCAGGTGTTGCGTGGTGTTGGTCCAAGAGCAAAATTTTATCTCAGCGGTGCCTCTGTTTGACTCCATTCCACTTGCTGCCATGGCTGTATGGAGTATGGATCAGTGGGAGCTTGCCCCGGCATCAACGGATAGTGACACGGATAGCTTTGAGCTCTCAGATTCCCCACCAGGACGTCTACCTGACCTACCTTTGTCGACGATTGACAGCCTTCCCCATGAGCTGGACAGTGTAGAATCATCCGACTTTGAACCTCCAAGTCCAAGTCCCGCGTCTTTGCCCAAGCCACGTCAGGGAGCCAGAGTGGGAGCCAGGTCAAAAACAATTTCAAAGTCAAAGACAAGGGTGGCTATGTATTCTCTTCGAGATGTCTTACCATGCCACAGGCAACTGTTCAAGAAGAGTTGGAAAGTGGCTTTCAAAGCCTGCCGTGGCCAGATCCGGTTTCTGGTGGAGACTTCTTTACGTATTGCTGGGTGGAGAAAGATCCGTGTTTGGCCCCATTCCAAATTCATGTGGGTGCCAAGTGCAAGCAGCAGCTTCCGCTGATCGCTGAGATGTAATTAGTTTGATGGGTTGGTCAATCT